GTCATCAGAGATCTTCAAAATTGACAGGAAGACACACACATCCCCCCAAAAGAAACGTTGCTCAGACAACGTCTCCTTACTATGGATAATCTTTGTGTTCTCACTCTTTGCATGTGACAAGCAAGAGCATTTCTTACAGTGACATTTGAAAGAAACTTGTCTATGAAAGGCTTTTTCTTTCCAGCTGTAAACAGGAAGGGCACCTACAGAACAGGCAGGCAGATAGAACAGATCGGATCTTCCACACACTATTAGAGAGAAAGAATCATCTTCAGGTCATCAAAGAGCAAGGCAAAAAATATACACCTGCAGAAAGGAAGAGATCATGACACACTGTTCCCGATTATGTAGCTAAGAGTAGGCAATAATTCAGGTGTTTAGTAAGCAGGGAACACACAGCTTGCTTTTTCCAAAGCTCCCACATGACCTTTGTCATACGCACATAATTAAGCTGTGCAGTTGCACAATTATGAACACAAAGAAATTCCCAGGGCTGGAATAACTATTTGTCATCCAGCCAAACAGTTTGGAAAGGGAATCTCATAGTACAAGGTACTACAGGTGTGTAATGAACCAGAAAACAAGAAAAGCTTTCCCTTGTGTTCTTCAACAGACCCTCCTTTACAGCTCTCAGGACTCAAATCTCTGACCCATTCCATTATCCAGGATGCTCTGCAACGCATCTGAGTTATAAGGACATGGCACATAAGGCCCAGTTTATCAGATTCCTCAACCCACCGACTTCACAGAGATATCTTTACATTTCTACATGGAGATACATTTGTCTACTCATTTGTCTTCTGTGAAAAAACCTCAACATTCTAAAAGTAAAAGAGAAGCAGTGCTCCAGTGGATGTATGCAGATGTTCACAGTGGGTCAGTGAATGTCTGCATAGGGGCAATCACCCTCTCCTTTCATCTCCCTCTGCACTTTGAGTCTCTCCCTTTGCACTCACACAAGGCTCTTACCATGACATGTATTTTATAGCCAAGGCACATCTAGCCCCATTTCACATGGTTCAACCTCAAAAGACAAAAAATCAGCAAAACATCTCGGTCATTTCTTCCTGTATTTCCTTCACATGCAGCCACCCGCAACTCTTTTCAAACTCTCACAACTTTGAAGATGATACTTCATCTTCGTAACAGGCAGACAAACATCATCAAGGCACCAGTTGTTGCCCATCCCATTCCCCTATACAGAACACAAAGAGTAATCATGGATGAATGCAAAGACATTTCCTACTGACACAACTATATATCACAGAGACCCAGAAAGGTTGAGAAGAGTGCAAATGATGAACAGCAAAGTTACTCACAGAGCTGTCACAGCCTATACAACCTCACCCAAATCAAGTGCATGTACCTTTGGGAAGACTCCTGAGCCTGCAAAGAACACAAACTACAATTTCCTAATAAGGAAACACATCTGTACTGAAGAGTGAATACTGAAAGGTACACGAGTGTTACACATGTCAGGGTACAGAAACAATTTGGTGCGTGATGAAACCACAAAGCCTCGCTCGAACTTCCAG